TTGAAATCTACCCGATGACTTTATAGACGTGCGTAGGTGCCAAGGATCCAAGTGCAACCAATCATGACTACTAATAATCAGATACATACAGATTAGAGATGCGTGCACCAACATCTCAATGTTAGTATCAAAAACAATGAGTCTTTCTGCAAGGAACTATATATTCTAAAATGAAATGGAGATCTTTTATAAAGGTTAAAAAACTAATCCAATTTTACGTCTTACAGGGCTTATACTGAGTTCAATATTGTATAACTGTATTAACTCAATTGTGAACCAAGAAACTTGGACCCACTTGTGAAAGAGATGTACTCTTGCTCTGTAGTGTGTTACTGAATATGTTAAATCTGTAGTGAAATGCTTCACTTCCAGATCTTTTAAAAATTGAAAAGAGTATTAACTTTATACTGTTTGTCTCAATGAAGTAGTTATGAGTGGTATGTAAAAAAATCAAGTCAGAATTAAAAAATAATAATATAAATAAAAGAAAGAGAGGCTACAATGTTGCCTTAATATGTTAAATCACAGGCAGATGAAATATATATAGTTTTTAATTATAAATCTTTGTAAATAAATTATTATAATTCACTTCATAACATACACTTAATGTATTACTTGTTACTTAATATTACTCTGTATACCTAAGCACTCCTATATCAAAAAAATGGGTGACATCTCTCATTCTTATGTGTTTCAGTATTTACCCAGTGCATATTTACTATGAAGACACCTGATATGAAGTATTTAAAGCAGCAGCCCTGGTGAAATTTCAAATTAAATTTTATGAAAATTGCAAGGTATGGAGACTCATGCCTATAATCTCAGTGCTTGTTAGGGTGAGGTAGAAGTACTGTTATGAGTTTAAGCCCAGTCTAGGCTACAACATGAATTCCAGGTTAGTCTGAGCTATAATTAGAACCATCTCAAGAAAACAAAAAATTATGAAAATTTAGCCTACAGAAGTTTAAAATATGGTGATCTTCCCAATACTTGGCTAACCACAGTTACTAAAAGGGGATGGGTAAACACTGGTTTATTTCCAAAGTCTTCAAATCTGAGTTATTCTATATTTCAGAGGCAGTGAAAGCCTCTCCCTAGGCTACATCATTAGCAGCTGCAGCCTGGATTTTCTAGTTCATAGATTATTCTTTTCACTCCCTTGTAGTCTTCCTCAAGCAAAAGAAAGAAAAGGTCTTTAATTGGCTAATATTTCTGTGGAAAACTTAGGTCACATCTCTTACCTGTCCAGCTGAAGCCAAGGTGATCAGCAATGCAGGCCAGCCTTTCTTCAGTCCGCTCCTGTTCATCTTCCAGATCTACAGAAGGTCAAAACCAGAATGGTCAAAGGGTGTCTACAACAGGAGACAAACCACAGTACTAATCATCTAAGGAAAGGAGTCACTTGAACAAATATCTGATAGTTGCACAAGTTGGCTATCATAGTTTGTATCATATTAAGTGGTGTGATTTATGATTTCTGGAGTATGATAGGGAATGAATATAGTGTGACTCATAGAAACCATCTGCTTCCATATCTCTTTAATCAAGACTAGCAATTGAGCACAATGTCTAGTTATCTTAGAAGTTTTTAAATTATTTGAAAGCACTGCCCACCACAGTACACTCATTTTGCACATGAAACACCAGAGAAATCATAAGTGGGATACAGAAGTGGAGTAATTTCTTGGAGTTTCCTATTATTGCTTGTGAAAGTAATACACTGTGTATGCTGCATTAGTGTGATACATGCTTTTGAAGCAAAGTTTCTGTCTACTTGTTGCTAAGTAGAGTCATATAGTCAAATACAGTCACTCTCACAAACTAGAGTTTTTCCCATTCCTTTTTAACTATCATGGGTTTAAGTGCAGGTTTTTAGACAGCATCATGAAATTCTGTACCACTCAATTTAAAGAATCAGTCTTCATTGTAGAGATAGTGGAAGGCTACAGGCTACTTCTCAAAGCCATCTATGGTTTCCTTTTTCATAATTCCACGAGTCATTCCCTCACAGTCTACTTCCATCATGCAAAGTTTGAGATTTTGTTGTCTGATGCATTTCATCTAAAAACATTCTCCATTCATCTACCACATAAATGGAAAGTGTATTTTTACTTTAGGTTTGTTTGCTTAACTCATTTACCAGGGGTTTTTGCACTGAAAAACAGATCCAATATAATTAGAATTTTAGGATGTGAGAAATCTTCCTTGAGGAAATGGCTTCCTAATAATTACAAAATTAAGTACAAATTAAAGTACACAATATAGGAAATGTAAGTATAAATTAAAGTACATCAATGTAGGAAATTAGGGAAATGAATCCTTATACTATGAAACCCATATACTCATGCACAAAACCATATAATTGGAGGCTAAGTCTGGGATTTCCAAACAACAAAACTCAAAACTTGCATGGCCTTACGTGCAGCAGCTAAAGAAAGGCAAGGTCCCCATTGCCTGGCTATGTTTATGTTTATATTTTTGATAAGCATTCTCATTATTCAATCTTGAGATTGTTTTCAAAGACAAGAGTATACAGAAAAAGCACAAAACACAAGGGGCTTACACAAACACATTAACCACTACAGAAAGTTTAAAGAAAATGAGACACAAATCACAAAATAAAACAAACATACAAAAAAATCTCTATCAAATTTATGACATGCGTAGCACAGGGAATCCGTGTCTGGCAAATACCTTCAGCATGGTCATGGCCATTTTCATCAGGGATGCGTTCAATCTGAGTCTCAATGGACTCATCCCAAATGGGCCTTGTGTCAAAGATGTCCTCAGGAACTGTGTGTTCGGTCTCAACAGGTGGCAGATTTTCAATGACTGAAACTTCCAGGGCACTACTGCTTTCATCATCTGAAGCTGGTTCCTGCTCCCTTTCTGACTGTGTGAGTCTGTCTACTAACTTGGAAGCCTCATCACTAATCTCCTCAAAGAATTCTATGGAGTTTCGGTAAAGGTCAAAGAAATGCTCCTTATTCTCTTTCGTGGGGCTTGTGTTCCCCTTGAAGGAAGATGAGGTGCTTCTGCTCTTAACTGGCAATCGAGATACAAATAGCTTTGACTTTATGGGCCCTTCTGCTTCTGACTCAAACCCCTCTGTCCTTTCTCTGCTTTCTGTTTCTGTCTCAATGTAACTTCTGGCTTTTACTGGGCATTTGGTCTTAGCATCCAAAGGGCTAGCATCAGATTCAGATTTGCTTCTACTCTCTGGTGCTCTGCCTGTCATGTCCTGTCCTCGGGGAATTACTGTCATCTGAAGAGATGAGTCTGGATAGGAGAGCTGCCACTCGGCTCTATGGGAGGACACTTTGATGGGGATTTTGGACTTTGGTTTTGCTTCATCCTCCTTATTTTCCTCATCTAGACCAGATGGGAAATCTTCAGAAAACGTACTCTCATCCTCTGCAGATGGAGGGGCTGGGACTGAAGAGGGGATAGTCCTTATGGGAATTTTGGATTTGCTTTCAGCAGAAGCCATATTCTCCATGGGTGCAGTAGGGATTTCAATCACAGATTTCTGTTCCTCTGGAGAAGAATCAGGTGACTCATCATCTCGATCTGAATATATGGACCTGGTGACTGTGGAAAAGTCTAACTGAACTTGAACAATGGGTTCGGAGGAGGCAGGGCAAGGTTTCTGCTTCACACTGAACAGAGAAGGCATATCGCCCACAGGTTTGGTGAGGAGGTCCTTGGTCACTGTAAACATGGCCTCTTTCATGGGTATTCCAGTGGAAGCTGACATCCTCACTTCAGAGTTAAGGTTAGCATCTAAAGCAGCTATTTCCTCACTCAGATCATCAGGAAGTAATTCTCCTTCACCATCTACTGCTTCCTTGGATGCTGAAGGTATCAATGACTCCCTTGTAGCATCCAGCTGTGAAGGCTCAGCCCCAGTAGTCCCATCTTTCATGTCCATGTGGACAGAGATAGCTTCGTCACTAGATTCTTGATCAATTTGGAAAAAGTGAAAACTTTCATCTATGTAGGACCTTTTGGTCATATCAATAGCACCACTTCGGGTCATCTCAAACAATTTTCCTTCTTGAAAGAGAAATGGATTTTGTTCACTTGTTGGGGTCCCCTCTTCAGTTGGGGTCCTTGCAGGAGTGGTGTCAGGGGTGGTACCCTGTGACTGCTTATCTACTATCAAACCAAATATTTTCTGTTCTTCCTCTTTCACTCGAGCTTCAAAGGCTTCATCATCTTCACGAATTTCACTCCAGGAATCAGAACCCATGTCAGTTTTTGTGATGGTCACTTTGCATATTTGCTTACCAGTGGCTGCTGATGTGTTTAGAGTACTAGGCTCTAAAGATGAGGAAACTCTATCTGACTGCATTTCCCACAAGGCACTTTCTTGTTTAGAATCTATTTCTAAGTCCTGGCCCTTAAAATTAGATTCTTTCCTTGATATAGCTGTACTAGAGGAGCCTGTCACGACAACATCCTCCACAGAGGGTATGACAGCAAAAGAACACACTTCAAAAGAATGAACACTTGCGGTATGACTTGTATCTGTTTGGGTTTTGCTATCCTCACTAGAGAAAAATGACTGAGAAGGAACATTTTCATAAGGGCTTGTGATTTGAGGATCAGCGTTTTCATCAATCTCTGCTAAATCAGACACTGGAACATCCACAGAAAACTCATCTGTTTGAGCTGTAGTAGACGAGTCTTGAGTGGAACAGTCCTTTGACATGCTCTCCAAAGTTTGATCGGTTATTGTGACCTTTACTTTTACAGCAGAAGATGAAGATACTTCTTCATCTAATTCTTTTCTGTCACACACTAGACAGTGAGGCAAAGGGGACCAGGAAGAATTTTCCCTGTGGCAAACAACTACTTCTGGAGATTTCACTCCAGGAGCATCAAGCTGTTCTTCTTCTGGGTCATTTTCATGAGTGTCCAGGGGAGCTAGTGACTCTTTATGAATGACTAGCTGCTCATCAATATTATCATCCTGAACTCCTAAGGAGGTAAGAGTGGCTGGGTTGCTAGGACTCACAGCTTTACACCCATGGCCATCACTGGTTTCTGACTGACAAGTCTCCCTGCTCAGATTATCATAAGACCTGTCAGTATCATTGATGGAAACAGCTAAATGAGATTCACAGTCTTTTTCTTCTGAGTTACCTGGCTCTTCTTGAATATCCTCATTCATCTTGAAAACATACTGTTTGGAAACTACAGGCTGGAACTGTACCTCTTCGGGGCTGGAACTGGAGTCTATGCTGGATGGAAGGGGAGAAGGAGGTTGCACTTGAATAACTGGCTCTGGCAAAAGTCCTGAGTCAACACCTTTCTTCAACTCTATCAGCTCAGATTCACTTTCTGAGGAGGAAGAAGTCTTTCTGCTCTCTGAAGTCACCGAAACTGGGACCTCACTTTCATCCTGCATGCTCTCAGTCTGTTTCAGTTCACCCACTTCTGCTGAACAGTCAGCACTGGGGTCAGAGAATGGAGAGGACTCCTCTTGTCTGGATTCTTTTTTGTAGTCCCTTTTCTGCTTTGCTTCCTGTTCAAGTTCATCAAACATTTTCACTTTGGTTACCATTTTGAACATTTCCTCTTCGGGTGTGAACTTCTTTTTCTCCCCATTTTCAGAGTCATCCTCTTCTACACACTCATGAATCACAGCAGGTTTTGGTGTACTCGAATCTGAAGCTTTAGGTGTGACCTCATAGCTAACTTCTTCTGAGCTGGGAGTGTCAGGGGATAGAGGGCTTTTCCCTGAGCTTTCCATGAGTGATGTCTGTTCAAGACTGTCATCCTCGGCACTGCCATCAGGGTCTCGGAGCAGCCGGCAACGCATGGAGGCCACATCTGTAACAAATTCTGTTTTGGCAATAGCTGCAGGATGAGGAAAGTGACTTAGGGGAATTCCTGCTTTCACTTTTGGTTCAACAGGGCTGTTTTCAAGAGAGTCCTTGCAAGGGGATTCTTTGAGTGGACTTGGTTCCAGAGAATCAGGAGTTTTGTGTGAGGAGTTATCTTCTAGCACAGGGCTAGCTTCCAGGGAGTCTTGGTGGCTTACTGCTAATGATTCATCAGCCATTGGGCTGAGGATCTCACCATCCCGGCTAGGGAGTGGAAGTTCTAAGCCTTGGGGACTTCTAATAACTCCCTGGGACTTTGGTTCATTTCCTGTACCTGTATTTACAGAAGCATAAGATAGTGGGAAGGCCTTTGTCATCTCTGAGGGGGTTGTGGAATCCTGAGCCTCACTATCGGGCTGTGTTTTATGAACTGAACTATCAGGTGTGACCTGCCTTTCGTTGCAGGACACTTCCTCAGTAAATGCCTGGCATATTTCATTTGCTAATGATAGGCTATGGTTGCCAGGGCAATCATCTTGTTTGGGGCATGAGTCTTTGGACTGGTCTTGGGTAACCTCTTTCTGGAAATGCCTGGTAGAGGTCTCTGAATCCTTCGTGACCCTAGCACACTGCTCTTCAAAACCAGCAGTCATGTCTTTGGTTGTAGGATGCTTTTTTACTGAATGAATTTCTGTGAGTGTTTCTATCTTGGTGGTTTCCTTTGTCTCTCCCATTTGTTCCTCACTTTTCTTTGGTGAGAAAGAAAGACTTTCTGGGCTTGTCTCAGGGGTCTCTGCTAGGCCCTCATGCTTATAGCTCTCTTCTGAACTAATCTGAGGGGTCCCTTCCATCAGGCTACCACATGGTGAGCCTGAAATTCCTTCAGGCTTGAGGATTTCAGAACTGTCATCCAAAACACTACTCTGTAAAGACAGAACTGGAAGGAACTCATCTTTCGTAGACTCTAGTGGAAATGTTGTGTTGAAAGGACTAGTAAGTACTTGGTCTAAGTGAATCTGAGCCTCCTCTGTCTCTTCACTGAGGCAGAACTGTTGGTATTTGTCATTATTCTCTAATTCTTGCTTGATGACCTCAGAAAAGTCAGTGGACGTTTTCCTGTCTGGACTGATCTGGAAATCCACGTCTCCTTGTTCTTGGAGGGTTTCACTTACTTGATGGATTTCTTCTCCTGGTGCTGACTGAACAGGCTCAGGCATTTTGAAGGTGGGAGCTATCTCAAACTTTTCTCTAACTCGATCTTCTCTTCTAAAAAGCCCAACAGTGATGGGAGAAGACTGTAACCCTTTTCTAGATTCTGAAGCTCCTGTTGCCAGAAATCTCTGACCACGCTTGATTGTCTGACTTTCTAATCTCTGAGTTTCTCTCTGGGTTACTGTGTGCCCTTTTTCTTTTTCTACTCGAGCTTTACTTTTTTCTTGTGACTGCTTTTGCTTTGCTGATTTGTGCTCAAAGAGTCCTGTTTTATGTTTAGATGGATCCTGACCAGATTGGAAAGCTTTCATCAACTCCTGAACAGACATTGTTTCCTCAATTCGCTCTGTTTTTGAGGTGGGGGATACAGGCAGCTGCTTTTCTGACTTCACAGGTGAGATGGACAGGCGCTTCTCACTTTTCCCAGCAGTTAATGCAGGCGCCTGCTTCTCTGAGGTTCTCCCAGAAGGTGAAACAGGCAGGCGTTTCTCTGTTCTCCCAGGTGACACTGGAGGGTGTTTCTCTGCTCTCCCAGATTGTGGTGCTGGTGGGCGTTTGTCTGGTTTGCCTAATGGTGAGACAGGGGAATGTCTTTCATTTTTGGTTGAGGGTGATCCAGGTGAGTGTTTCTCAGGTTTACTTGCTGATACCGGAGAATGGCGTTCAGTTTTTGCCAACGGTGACACAGGTGAGTATTTCTCAGTTTTACCTGACGGTGATACTGGAGTGTGCCTTTCGGTTTTGGTAGAGGAGGAAGAGGAAGAGTGTCTTTCTGTTTTAGAGGAGAATGATGACTTCGGAGAGGGTGAGACAGCTGGATGTGTCCTGGGAGTGGTCTTTTTTGGTATGTCCTCTTTGCCTTTGACTCTGACAGGCAACTTGCTTCGACCTTTCTGCTCATCTTCCACTCGCTTCTGAAGGGCCTTCACTTTGTCCTTTATGGAACCAATGGGGGTTTCTTCTATCAAAGGAGAGGTGGCCTTTGCAGCAGGAAGAGGTTCAGGGGCCAGACCTCGGTCTTCATCTACTGACTCTTCTGAACTACCCTTTTTAAATTCTGTTTTTTCTTCACTTGCTTGTGAACTGTCCTCTAGTTGTTTTTGCTTTTCTTTCAACTTCTTCCGCACTGGTTTCTTTATTCCCAAGCTTGGTTTGAGCTGTTTCTGTGTACTCTGTTTCTGCTCTGAGGGAACAGTCTTCCCTTTACTTTCAGAGCCCTTCCCAACAGCGGGAGACTGAATTGGCTCTGACTTTTCTTGAACTACTCGTGTCTTTTCTTCATGAGGACACTCGTATGAATTTAGGTCATCAGTAAGGTAGTTCACTAGCTCAGTGGAGTCTTTCTCTGCTTTGACTTTGGATTCTTTATCTATCCTAACTTCTACACATGGATCTTCAGTGATTTCTACAGGTACATTCTGCTTAGCCTCTTCTATCTCCTCATCACTGACAATAACCCATTCCTCTTCCACTAGCTCTTGCTCAGGCTGAGAGCTCTGCACTCTACCTTCATCTCTCATGCAGGTTCCGCTTCTGAGGATTTCACTCACTTTCTCCAAGTCCTCTTTAACTCTTTCAACAATTTCAAAGGGTTCACCTGGCTCTTCCTCAGCAGCCTTCACCAGCTCCTTCACTTTAATAGATCCTGTCTTATCAGACACATCTGTGGTCAAGATGGCCGTCATTTTGATCAAATCTTGTTTCATCTCAGAAACTTCAGAGAGCAAGTCCGGACTTGCTAGAACAGGAACTTCATTAACCAGGTGGCTTTTCAGGACAGATGTTTCTGTAGACTCTGTCTCATCATCTTTGATGTGAATGAAAAACATTGAAAGTAAAATGGAAATCAAAAAAGATATTGGCAAAAGTAACCAGGACTGAAATGACACAGTGTCTTTTCTGCTGTGGTGGAAGGGGCAACAGGATGGGCTGGGAGTGGTGGATCCACAAGGTCTCAGGGTAGAAGAGCAAAGCAAGGCTATGGTGGGGGGGGGGTGGGGAACTTAAGGGGGAAATGAGCAGGAAATAACTTGCTTAATTTTTTCACTTGTAGCACATCCACACATACAACAAAGCTATCACAAAAACTGAACACACATTTTTTTTAAAAAATCACAAATCAAAACAAAGAACACAGTGAAATATCACACAGAAGTATCTCAAGATTGTCCAGATGTCACAGATCAATGTCAGAAAAAAAATGGGGAAAAAATGAGAAAAAAAAAGCATTAGAAATTGCAGAAACTTGATTTCCTCCAGGAGAAAGCCAGTAGTAGCAAACTCAGAATTAACATACAACTATGTATATACATTTTTAATCACACAAGTCTGAAATTCAGTAGGCTTAGTTCTGTCAGCACACAAAGATGATAGAAAACATGTCTGAATCAGCTGCAAACTGGCATTTCATCTAAGAAGAATTCACACATAACAATGGCAGACAACTTGTGCTGAGAGGCATGGTCCTTTCCTTGGAAGAACCTCCTTGTTTAGACATATAATAGACAGACCGAGGAGGAACATAAAGGAAAGGAAAGACAACAACAGAAATAACAGCTGTGGTTAAACATGTATGTGAGTTCAGAGTTAAAATGTGATGCATGGCTCCCAAATAAGAGACAATCACACAAGACACACGCACAGTATATGTAAGCCAAGTTATTTCCATGCAAAGCAAAGGTGGAATAAAACTGCTGGGCAGGGCATCTTGCAGAAAAAAGTATGGGCAGAGGATGACAAGAAATTAGAACAAAAATGTAAAGCATTACTGTGGTGAAGCACATCAAGTTCCCTACAAGCCCAGCATAAGAAATGTATGCAGTGCAATTGAGGTGCAGGTTGCTAAAGGTAAGAAGGAACCTTCAGGTTTTCTTTTGCAAAGACTAGGAAAGTCCTTACAAGAGAGCCCTTCCTTGAGTATATTTCATAACTATATGAAAATTACTTAATGACTGTCTTTT